GGCCTAGGAATAGGAGCCCCTGAGAGAGAACTATAAATAGAGATTTAAAATGTGGTTTATCTCTGTGGTGATGAAACTAACATCCCTTTATGTAAATATAATGTTTGACTCACATTAGGCTTTCAAACATGTTTTTCAGAATGTGTTTTATATTTAAAATGCCTGTATTTTGGCTTTAAAAAACTAAATAGAAGTAGCCACCAATTTTATATCTCTGCTGAGCTCTCTTTAGTAGATAAATAACTAATTTTGGACTCATACAAACTACATTTTGGTCAGAGCCTGAGATTAAAATATTTTACAGTTAGTCTTTAATATTTTTTCTCTCTTTTGGGATGATTTTTTAAAATCTTGTTCATACTTTGAGATTCCATCCTTTAGCTAGTTAGAGGTTAATTAGAGCTGGGACTTTTAACAGGTCTTTAAAAAAAAATTAACTGTTAACATGGAAACATACAAAAATTAAAACCTCACAGGAATTTAAATGATTAGAGCTACATTAATTTGTATTACATAAAGTCAGCCACTTTATATTTTAGCAGAGATTCCTGTTAGAATCTGTTATGAAAATGCTATTTATCCCTACAGCCTGAATTCCTTCTGCTAGTGCTAATGTAAGCAATAAACAGATGATTTAGTATGCTCAGTCAGCAAATATTTTAATATATATCATGTGCAGATCACAAGTTTATTGTGAATGTATTCATGTATTTCTGTCTAACGTATGCACACATAAACAATCAAGGGCTTATGTGTGTATAGCCTTTATTTGATGGTAATTAATCATACCTATCAAACATTTAATATAAGTGGCCATTTAGTATTATTAATTTTATATAGCCACACTTAAGTTTCTATGTTTTTCCTCTTCCATTTATTATCACTCTGTTATCTATAATCAAATTTTAGGGTTAATATTTTTCTTAATATTATAATTAATTTAATGATTAATTAATCAGTATATACATCTTGACAGTCTCAAGTAGAAAGACAGGTTTAGCTCTTATACCATAGTATCTGTATTTCCCTTGTCCCATGGATTTAGGCATTGTATGTTCTGCCTGTACCCTCCAACTTCAGGTTGAGTATCCCTTATCTGAAATGCATAGGACCAGTGTGTTCAGATTTTGTTGTTGAGGGGAGGAGGTGGATTTGGAATACTTGCACATGCATAATGAGATATCTTGGATTGGGACCCAAATCTGAACACGAAATTCATTTATGTTTCACATACACCTTATATACATAGCCTGAAGGAAATTTTATATGATAGTTATGGAATTTTCCATGTATGGCCTCATGTTGGCACTCAGAAAGTTTCAGATTTTGGAGAATTTTGGATTTCAGATTTTCAGATTATGGATGCTAAACCTATATGTATTGTCATCATGCCTGGCTTCCTTTACTGAAGCTTCTTTTTCCTTCATACACAGCATACCTGAAGAATTCAACAGCTGTGCCTGATCTCTTTCTGCCTTTTTGCCAGAGGGCTTCGGATAGCAGACATTATAGGGCATGAGGTTATAGATTCACTTCTTTCAGTAGTGAATAGCATTATTTACTTAAAATTGGGAAGAGGAAAACCCAAGCCAGGGAAGACTGATAACAAATAGGAAGGGAAGAAGTAGTGGAATGTATTTGATCCCCCATATATGTTAATTTTTGGTCAAAGGATTACGCTTCATAGGAAATTATATTAGAGATTATCTTTACCAGTCCTCCATTTTATTGAGGGCCACTATGAATAAATGACTCATTCAGGCTCATATAGCCAGTTAACACCAGAGCCATGAATCATACAAAGAATTCCTAACTCCACATCAAGTATTCTTACTATTATTATAAGTTTGTATTCAAAAATTTACTGTAACTGATGGAGCAGTTTGGTAATTTCCATATGACCCAGTAATTCCACTCCTAGGATCCACCCTGGAAAAATGAAAGCATGTGTCCACAAAAAGATTGTACCCAAATGTTGTTCATTGCCACATTATTCATTATAGACAAAAACATGGATGAATGGATAAGCAAAATGTGGTATAATCATGAATAGGGTACTGTTCAGCACTAAAAAGAAGGAAATACTGATATATGTTACAACATTAATAGAACCTTAGAAATTTCCTTAGTGAAGGAAATCAGACACAAAAGATTATAATAATTATATGAAATGAAATGTCTAGAAAAGGAAATTTATAGAGACAGATGGCAAGGGTACTGGGAGTGGGAGTAGATATTGACTGCAGATGGGCTTGAGGGATTTTTTTGGGGGTGGTAGAAATATTCTAGACTGGATTATAGCAATGGTTGCATGACTATAGAAATTTAGTATAAATTATTGAACTCCTAAAATGGGTGAATTTTATGGCATATAAGTTATACTGTAATAAAGCAAAAAAGGGGACTTAAAATTTACTTGAACACTCCAATTTACTGTAAAGATTACATTGTATATATCTTTTGTTCTGTAATTCTTGTAGGTAGTGCTCTTTCAAAAAATCGATAAAATCTAATCTAATTATTTGACAATTCTCTTAGCCTGAATTAAGAACATTTGGTTTCTGAAGAAAGGAGTTAGTATCTTAGTAGACATGTTAAACTTGATAATTTTATGTATGTATGTATATATATATTTTTCTTCTTATTCTTCTTCCCACAAGATTAGTTTAATGTCCCATAGGCTCATATCATAGAACAGTTGAAACTTAAAGGACTTGGCAGAATTACTGGTACTTTCTATTCTAGTTGTAAAACATACTGATAAACAATTCTCTCACTGCTGTTAGGTTACTTTCCAGTATAATCTTCTTCCGTATTCTGCAGTTGAGCTTTGTGCTTACTGAAATTCCACTGTATTTGTTTTCAAACCTGTTTTTGCCAGTTGTACTTGTTAATATCACAAAATTTGATATTGTGTAAATCAATAAAATAGTGTCAAAATAGAATTTTTTCTTTAGCAAACTAGATTGAATACTTTGGAAAGATGTGAAAAAAGTAAATGGCTGCATACTGGTTTGAATTGGGTGTGGGTAATTTGAAACATGGGAGTGGAAATTGTAATAATATAGAAGGATTTTATTAATACTTTCAGATAACTTCACAAATGCCTTTAATTGATGCTCCACCTTAATGAAATTGAAACTAGAAATGTTAGACAATTTATTATGTCTGAGTATATGTAAAAAAAAAAAAAACCGAACTCCAATCATTGGACCTATGTTCAGAGAAAGTCTTAATATCTGAATGAACATTTATGTTTTAAATTAAAATGTTTAAGGTTCAGGTGTGTTTGTATATTTAATAGTTTCCCTGTTTACCACCTGACTTTAGTTAACCAACCAGGTGCTGGTTTTGATCAGAGTGGGTAAGAGGAGTTCTCCTCTGGTGCTTTTCTGTACTACAGAAATTTATATTCAGAACTATAAAATCAAATTTATAAAATAGTTAATTTTAGCAATAATAGGAATGGTTATTTTTATAATAAAAGAGATTCTCATTGCTTTTTAAATTATTGGGTTTATGTCAGTTTTTATTGCATGCATTTTGAGGTATGCTAAAAAGTAGAATCAGGATGACAGCAGAGAAGGATTGGTCCTGGAGGTCACAATAGGCCTAAAGAGGAGGTTCAGGGAGAGTGGGAGTTAACAAAGAAAGGAGGGATGTGGTCAGAGGAAAACTTAGGATGTTGAGCATGGAAGTGTGAAGTCCAAGAACTTAAAGTCATCAGTGAAAATTTTGAACTCATGAAGGTTGATGTGGAGATTTGAAAAATACGAGCTTGTGGTAAGATTATATAGAATGTAGAAATGTGAGCACCCAAGATGCTAATAAATGAATAGCTTTCCTTGTGGCCATTAGGTGTGTAGCATTTTATGAAAGAAGAAGGCTGGAGGAATGATGTCATATGAAACAAGGGCTGCACACAGAGAATTTATTAAAATTGGAAAGTTGATCAGTACCATTCTGGTTACATTGTTAATATGGTAAAGCTCTGTTCATGTTTACCTTTGAGTTGGTTGGTGTTACTTGGAATTGTTTAAGTTTATATACAGTACATGTTTCAAAATTCAAGATCACCGTTTGCAGTGATTTAACTTTTTTGATTACAGATGCCTTTAACAATCTAAGGAAAGCTACGATCTCTCTTTCCAAAGTACTTAATTACGAACAAGCACATAATAATTTCATAATTTTAGAAGGTTCACAGACCCGTCAAAGCTCAGATCCTTGTTGAGAAGAGAAAGAAATTATCATACTAATAATTAAAAACAGTAGCTTTGTTTCCATGTATTTTGGTGTAAATACAGATTTTTGAATAATGCACAAAACAGGACTTTTATAGTCAATAATTCTGGATTATCCGCACTCTATAAAGTGAGATATCTACAATCACGTTGGTAAGAACTTGGAAGTAAAGTATCACCAGTAAGTAATGTGTTTGAAGTGATAGTAACTAGAGATGTTTTAATTGAATAATACTAATGCTGCTCTGTTATATGCATTAGAGCCTTTTAATATTTACCAGTAGTAGCAATCAACTTTTAGTCATATGGATCTGTATTTTATTCCACTCTCAATTTTACTTGTAAAAGTATGATCTTCGAGTACAGTATTTAAGAACGATCCATGTGTGGGCGTGGTATAGCTTTGGGGAGAAAGTATGATACGCCTTACCTTGCTATTTGCCTTTTCTCTTCTGCTTTCTTGTGCCTGGATGTGATGCTTGCTTTTTTCCCTCTTTTTCTTAGGGTAAATGAGCAATCATTTATAGCTATTATTTGTTTTAGTAACCATTGTAAATTGTAAAGACTAACTTTTATATAATGGCAAGTACTAGAAAATTGCAGGTTGCTTAAGATAGTTTCAAGTATTTCTCACCTGAAAAATGACTGCTTTTGGAATTGTATTTCCTTTAATTTGTTATTGTAGCTCACAATAATTATTTTTATGTTTGCAAGAATAAGAATTGTACTCACACTTATGATTTTTTTTAACTATAGGACCGTGTATATGTACAACAAAATAATGTGGAGAATGTCTACAATTTGGGATTAATTATTTTTCGAGATCAAGTTGTACGTTATGGGTGTATTAGGGATCATCTACGGCAAACTCTCTTGGATATGATAGCAAGAGAGCGGAAAGGAGAAGTTGTAGACAGGTATAATTTATCTTTTTACTCTCGTGGTTTTGATTTTTGGTGCTTATATCTTGAGAACCAATTGACTGTCATAGTTATATTAAATAAAAGTTTGTATGTCCAGCACATTGTGAAAATCCTTTAAAACCTTAATTTACAGTTAACAAAGTTACCTAGAATTTAACTTGAAAGCAGCAAGTAATATATCCAGCTGTGGATACAATGGATGCATGGACATAATGGCTGGATACTTTCTAGACAGCCCTCGTGTGTGTGTGTGTGTGTGTGTGTGTGTGTGTGTGTGTGTGTCTGTGTGTGTCTGTGTGTGTGTGTATAATGAGATATGCATGTGTATATATATCCCTATTATGTGTATTTTTTTATTTTAATTTTTTTTAAAGACATAGGGTCTAGCTCTGTTGCCCAGACTGGAGTACAATGAAACATTCATAGCTCACTGCAGCCTTGAACTCCTGGGCTCAAGGGATCCTCCCTCTTCACCCTCCCCAGTAGCTAGGACTACAGGCATGCATCACCATGCCTGCCTAACTTTTTAAAAAAATTTTTGTGGAGATGATCTCGTTATTGCTTAGGCTGGTTTTGAACTTTTGGCCTCAAGCAGTCCTCCCGCCTCAGCCTCCCAAAATGCTAGGATTACAATTGTGAACCATTGCACCCAGTCTGTGATATTTTTACAATAGACCATCCTGAGCATTTATTTAATATGCTTTAAAAGAACAAGTCAGTTATTGGTCTTCCCTTACGATTTTTCATATATTTTTCATTCTGGCATTTTGTTGTTTTTTTTTTTCTTTTTTCTCTTGGTCTTTTTCCTTAAGGGCTTTGTCTAGCTTTCATTCTTAACGTTTTTGAAGAAAAGTGCTGAGTATAGTCTAAAAGGACTAAGAACTTCTATACCTCTTCTAGGTCATACTCCATCCCCCTTCCTAACGTGATTGCAATGCCATTTTTGTGATGCTGCAGCTAGAGAGCCTTGAAACATGTGAGATTGCTTTCTCTGCTTCTGTTTTCAGAGCAGCAGTTAGATGAAGACTTACAAAGTTCTTCTTATTTCAGCTTTGGTGCTTGACCAGGATTATCCAAAGCCATTTAGTGCAAAAAATTATATTGCCTAAGAGTAGCTGTATGTTGTACCCATGTCTGGCAATGCAACCTAATCTACCTATCTTCCTCTCTCCCCTGTTCCCTCCCTACTTCCAGGTAAACAGCCTCTCTGTGTTTTAAAATACGTAGAAATATTTAAATATTTTAAACATATTTTCTTTAAAAATTGTAAGCTATAGCAGGGTAAAAACAACTTGAGATAAATAGCCAATGCAGACAAGATATGCCTTGCAATTAAAATTAAATCCTTGTTATAAATGAGGAATTTATGGGAGATTAGTCACTTTAGTAAAAATTAAATGTTTTGAAGATATTTTAACCTTTTTCTTTGTATTTTTATATGAGATCTTTAATGTAATTCGATTATGAAGTGATTTAACTTCTTTTGACAGGGGCGCAATAAGAAATGCGTGCCAGATGTTAATGATTTTAGGTCTTGAAGGAAGATCAGTCTATGAAGAAGATTTTGAGGCTCCTTTTTTGGAAATGTCTGCAGAATTTTTTCAGGTAATCAGTGAAAATGTAAACAAATATTCTTCTAAGATTCTCAACATTATTGAGTATAGTTAGCAGTTTGACTATTTTTACCATTTTTGACTGAGGCCCATTGGGGCAGGGGAATGTGTAAAAAATACACTTCAGCGTACCTACCCTACATTCTCACATTCCAGTTAAGCAACTCATTGATAATAAAATTAGAGAGTTTGAACTCATAGACATGGTTTTTAAAATTACACAGTTGACCCTTGAACAGTATGGGGATTGGGGCACTAATCCCCCCCTCCCAAATGCAGTCAAAAGTCCAAGTATAACTTTTGACTCCCCACAAACTTAACTACTAATAGCCTACTTTTGATAGAAAGCCTTACAGATAACATAAACAGCTGATTAACACATATTTTGCGTATTGTATGTATTACATGCTGTATTCTTTTTTTAAAAGAGGATCTGATTCTGTTGCCCAGACTAGAATACAGTGGCATGATCGTAACTCACTGCAACCTCAAATGCCTGGGCTAAAGTGATCCTCCTTCCTCAGCCTCCTGAGCAGCTAGGACTACAGTCATGTGCCACTGTGCCTGGCTAATTTTTCTATTTTTTGTAGAAAAAGGGTCTTGATATGTTGTCCAAGCTGGTCGTGAACTCCTGGGCTCAAGCAGTCCTCCTGCCTTGGGCTCCCAGAGTGCTGGGATTATAAATATGAGCCATCATGCCCGGCCTATGTGTTGTATTCTTAAAACAAAGTAAGCTAGAAAAAGAAAATGTTATTAAGAACATCATAAGGAAGAGAAAGTATATTTACTATTCATTAAGTGGAAGTAGATCATCATAAAGGTCTTCCTCCTTGTCATCTTCACATTGAGTAGACTAGGGAAGAAGAGGAGGGGTTGGTTTTGCTATCTCAGGGATGGCAGAAGTAGAAGAAAATCCATTTGTAAGTGGACCTGCACAGTTCAAACTCATGTTGTTCAAGGGTCAACTGTATGTTATAAAACATTAACTTAGAAATATTCTTAACATTTTATTATATTTATATGTTACAAATTATTTAAGTACCATAATACACAGTCAGCACATCACTAATGAAGTTTTACCGTACAGGCTTTTAGTAGTGTAAATTACTAGTAAAATTGACATAGGAATATGATGAGTCTGCAGTGCATATTTGCCTTAAAGATTGTTGATTAGAAAATTTTAGGTCAGCGAGTACTGATACAAGTTTGCAGCAATATACACGATGCCAACTAAATGCTGAAAGTGAAGCTAAACTAGTACTTATTTGTAATGAAATGATGGTGATAACGGTAACTGAGTACTAAGAAACATAGGACAGTATTTATAAGGTAAAGATAAGTAGGCATCCTTCCTCAAATCTGCAACTATCTGAACGGTTTACAGTAGGAGTTTTATACTGTTGCCAAAACAGATATCTTAGTAGAGTACTAATATAAAGTTTTTGCTTCCATAATACACTTAAAAAAAAATACAAAATTATGATAACTCTTAAGAACTTAGGTTATTCATAAGAGTCATTGGATGTATGTAAAAATGGAACTCGGTGAATTTTGGTGTCATTTACCTAAAAAGAAACAAAGAATGGACTTGCTGCTTTTTGTTTGTTTGTTTGTTTGTTTTTCCAATCAGTTTATAGCCCATCAGGAAGACCTTTGTGGCCTGCACTGGTGAGCCTGGACTATGCTTTATGGAGTATTAATTTATAATATAGGAAACAGTATTTATTTTCTAATATGTCAACTAGTTGTAGATATTTTTGGCAATATTTCTTATTTTGTGTTGGTTTTAATTTCATTCATTAAGTATGCAAATACTAAGAGAAGGTAAATTGTTTATAAATCAGGATTCCAAAATGTGCTACAGTGGCATACGTATGTATGTATGTATAAATACATAAACATACTATTCTTAATAGTGGAGAGATGGTCTCACCAAGATTTTTGTTTGGTGCGTTAATGTCTAAGGAACTTGATTATTTTCAAGGATTAAAACTACTTGTTAAGAAAGTGAGAAATGTTGTTCAATCTGATACCATAGTTTATATCAACATGTCTTCTATTATATATAGATATATTCGCTAATGCTATTATCAAATAGCTTAAAATCAGTAGGGATAATATTTGTAATTTAGTGGAACTTTTGTAAGGCTGGTGGTAATAAGCAGACAAGATTAACAGTTACTTGAAAGTTCTAATTCTCAGACTTTGGTATAAATGTATACCCCTTTGAGACTAGGAGTGGGGTGGCAGGAGGACTTTAGTAAACAGCAGTATGCTAGCAAAGCTTATGATAAACACAATGAATCTTTCTAGTTATAATTTTACATTAAAACAAATCAAAGAAGAACTCCCCACTCTTACTTGGGGTTCAGATGCTTCTATTCTGTAGTTTTGACCTCAATTGGCATGCATTTACTTTTTCTGCTATTTGTAGTACATTGGCAAAGTATGAAAAATAGTGCTGTGGATAGTGTTTTCACATAGTTATCATGTAAATAAATGCTTTCAAGGATATAATTCAGACTATATGAATCTTTGTAATGAGAAATTACAAAAAATGTTAATAGTCCTTATGTTATTTAGACTGATTTATGATAAACACTGTAGAAACCCAGTTAAAAGCAGAAACACATTTTCCTATGTTTAAAAAAAAAAAAATCATGCTTTTTAATTGCAGATGGAAAGCCAGAAATTTTTAGCAGAAAACAGTGCTTCAGTATATATAAAGAAAGTAGAAGCTAGAATTAATGAAGAAATAGAACGGGTGATGCACTGCCTTGACAAATCAACCGAAGAGCCAATTGTGAAGGTGGTTGAGAGGGAACTCATTTCCAAGCACATGAAGACTATAGTAGAAATGGAGAATTCTGGGCTAGTACATATGTTGAAAAATGGGAAGACAGAAGGTAAGTGTTATCAATCAAGCAATAATTAAGACATTTTTAAGAATTTTCCTATAGTTGAAGCAGATTGTGAATGTCAGTTTTCAAGAAGTTGTGGTATGAATTATTAGTTTATCACCGTTGTTACTTTGATGGCATTTAGTGATAAAGCTTCACACTATCTTTTTTTTTTTTTTTTTTTTTTTTTGAGACAGAGTCTCACTCTGTTGCCCTGGCTGGAGTGAGTGCCGTGGCATCAGCCTAGCTCACAGCAACCTCAAACTCCTGGGCTCAAGTGATCCTACTGCCCCAGCCTCCCGAGTAGCTGGGACTACAGGCATGCGCCACCATGCCCGGCTAATTTTTTCTATATATTTTTAGTTGTCCAATTAATTTCTTTCTAATTTTAGTAGAGGTGGGGTCTCGCTCTTGCTCAGGCTGGTCTCGAACTCCTGAGCTCAAACAATCCGCCCGCCTCAGCCTCCCAGAGAGCTAGGATTACAGGCGTGAGCCACTGCGCCCGGCCCTACACTATCTTATTAATGAAAATTTTAGATATTTCTGATGAATTGAGTAACTTTTTCTTCTGTCTTTCATTTTAAGTCTCCTCACTTCATGTTTTTGTGAATCCAGAAGATTAGAGGTAGTCTGATCTTACCATAATATCTAATTATAATATCATTGGTGAGGCCAGTGAGCTCCTTATCCATACCTATACTTTTTTTAATATATCACAGAATTTGGGCTCTCTCTATTTTCACGTACTCTCCTGTAGTCTTTGTTATTCTTTTAAAAATCTGAAGTTTTCATCTTAAGATTTTTGTAGCCTTTCATTTGAGATTTAGTGTTGATAAGGGTGCCAAAAATGCAAAAATATTCGTGTCTTCCATATTGATGTATTTAGATATTTTTAGTAGATTAGTTTTGGGAACTCTGAAGTTACAGTCTGAAGAGAAAGGAGAATTGCATGAAAGTAAACATTTTTAAGATAACTATAGCATTTATTCTTGTTTATTTTGGCCAGTTTAATGACTATATGTCGTGATATTTGCCTCTTTGCAGTGAATCTCCTTGGATCTTTGAGTCCTTTGAGCTTCTTATAGCTGGATATCTAGATTTCTAGCAAGGCCAGGGAAATTCTCCTCAATTATTCTCTCAAATAGGTTTTCCAATCCTTGTATATTTTCTTCTTCTTCCTCAGGCATGCCTATGATTCTTACTTTAGGCCTCTTTATGTAATCCCATATTTTTATAGGCTTTGTTTGTTCTTATTTCTCTGCTCTGTATCTTTGACTGACTTGTTTAACTCAGAGGTGTCTTCAAGCTCTGAGATTCTTTCTTCTGCCTGATGTAATCTATTAAGGCTTTTCACTGTGTTTTGTATTTCCTTGAATGAATTATTCACTTCCAGAAGTTCTAATTGACTTTTCTTTATTCTTCAGTGAATTTTTAATTCATTTCCTGCATTGTTTTTGTGGTTTCTTTATGTTGAGTTTCTATTTTCTCTTGTATTTCATTGATCTTCCTTATAATCCATGTTTGAAATTTTTCATCTGTTATTTCAATATTCTGATTTGGGCTGATGTCCATTGCTAGAGAGCTGGTGTTCCGTTTTGGGGGGTGTCCTTTTGCTCTGATTCTTCAAACGTCCAGAGTTCTTTTGCTGATTTCCTTCTCATCTGGAGCAGCTGTCGCTTCTTACTTTTGGATTTTGTTTTATTTCAGTATTTATTCTTGGTGGCTACTTATTTTTATTTTCCTGAAAAAGACATTTGTAAGTGACAAGTGACCTAGAAGAAATTATAAGTAAAAGAACAACAACAATCATGTTGTCCTTATTCTTAACTTCTCATGCTTTGCTTTAAAACTTTCACTTTAGCACTGATGCGCTATTAACAAATAAATAAACATGGTACCCTTGTTTCCCTGCTTCCTAGGTGAAATTTTAGCAGTATTTAGCCACTTACCTTTAGTAAAATATGTATTGCCTTGTTGGAGTCACTACGTAGGTAGGAAACGAGAAAAGTTTTTCAAAGGGAAATTACAAAGAGAGGAGGATACAAGAGAAATGAAAAGAGAAGTTGATCCATGTTGTCCTCTAGTGGAATTCTTACCTTGTGTTTTAAAACTGTTACATTTCTGTATATGTGGTAAGTACGTGGAAAGTTGTATGTAAATTTGTTTTCTTTTTAAAAGACTCTTCTGTTAAACCTTTTTTGTAAAAGAAAAAAAAAGTCATCTTCTAATATGTTTGCCATGTTTTCTAAAATTAAGGTCTAAGTCAAGGATTGGCAAACTTTTTTTGTGTAAAGGGCCAGATAGTAAATATTTTAGGGTTGTGACCCATATAGTTAACTACTCATCTCTGTTTTCATAGTGAGAAAGTAACCATAGATGATAACACAAATGAATAAGCTTGACTGCATTCCTATCAACCTATTTATGGGCCCTGAAATTTGAATTTCCTATAATTTTCACATGTCACTAAATACTCTTTTCATTTATTATTCTAACTGTTTAAAAATATGAAAACCATCCTTAGTTCATGAACTGTACAAAAACAAGTGGTGGGCTGTATTTGGCCCATGGGCTCTTATTTGATGACCCCTGATCTAAGTAGTCCCTGGTAGACTAGGGCTGTATGCAAAGCATTTTGTCCTACTTAAACAAAATGAGTATTGATAAATTATCTAATTAATGTACTATGTAAGTATTGAGTCAATGCTTTCTTACCCTCCTTCGGAGTATGTGGGGAGGGATGATTAAATGAGCTGGGGATTAGAGGGTAGGAAATGTTCGATGTGGAAGTTGTTGAGCCTGCCTGAATTACAGCATCTCTGTAACCTGCATGAAGATTTATGTTAATGATGTCAAGTATGCCTAACATGGCAAGTACTTAACAAGTACATGGGTGAAGGAGTATCAGAACTACTTATCACAGTTCTTCTTTAATTTTCATTTACTCTTTCATATTCTTTACTACACCATATATTTAAATACAATAAATTAAATGTGAAATTGTATTAATTTACATACAAATACATATACAACATACTATCTAAACAGAACATGCAAAAACATAGGAATGAAATAGACAAGTTGAGAACCATTTTGTTAGGGTTTTCTGGTGAGCCACATTTACTATAGAATGTGTCCACAGATTGCTGTTGCATTTGTAATACTTGTTTTTAATATGAGAAATTTGGTTATAATTTATGCTAAATATGTGAGAAGCTATAAGATTTGCCATGTGTAGGTTATTTATGGGCATATATTATTAATGGAAACTTACTGTTTATAAAATTTTCTGTTAAAAGTCACTGAAACAAATTTTAGAGGATCTTTTTGATAAACTTGGTTTTAAGTGTTTTTAAAATACAGACACCTTTAGTTTTAAGCTGTAACTTGCTTTTATAAATGTAGACCAAGGTAGGCCAATTATGGCCTGTTGGCCAAACCTGGCCTACCACCAGTTTGGTTGAAAAAAAAATCAAAAGAAGAATATTTCATTACATAAGAAAATTTATATAAATTTTCAGTGTCTGTGAAGTTTTATTTGAAACACAGTCACACTCATTCATTTATGTATTATCTCTGGCTGCTTTCTTGCTACAATGGCAAAGTTGACTAGTTGAGTCAGAGCCTGTGCGGCCCACAGCCTGAAAATATTTACTATCTGATGATTTAAAGAAAAAAATTTGCCAGTCCCTGATCTGGAAACTGCTATTCTAACTCCATTTTCAAAAGTAAAGTTCTGACATACAGTCTCTCAGTAAATTGTTATTTCAAAGAAACTCTAGACATATGGTAAAACAGTATTTTAAATCTACATTTTAGTCTTGTGAAAATGATATAAAAATGTATGGAGTCCAGAATTTTCATTCTAAATTTAAAAAGTATAGTGAGATAGACCAGTGTTTAAAATACAGATATTGGCTTAAGATTCCACCTTGGAAATACTAGGGATTTCTCTGAGGAAAATATTGAAGAGTAGATATTTATATTATAAATTTTATAAAAACTTGAGCCTGGCCGGGCGCGGTGGCTCACGCCTATAATCCTAGCACTCTGGGAGGCCAAGGCGGGCGGATTGTTTGAGCTCAGGAGTTCAAGACCAGCCT